GGAATTTTCTTCTTACCTTGCCTCTACCTGGCTGTGTGGCCTCCCCCATGACCCAGCCTTTCTGGGCTTCCATCAGTTTTCCAGGCTGTAAGATAGGTTGGACTAAAGTTTTCAAGAGCCTCCCAATCCTGATGCTTCATAATTCTTTATATATGTATGATTATCTCAGTAATGAAATGCCAAGTCTTCTAGAACAGGGAGGAGGGCCATTCATGATTCATTTTAATTGATCATGCTCTGACAGATGCATTTGTCATATGCCCTGGTAGGCCAGACACTGCCTAACTCACGCCAGGAAGGGACCAGATACATCCCCATTAGAAAGCACCGAACAAGGCAGAGAGGGACGTTCAGAGAGTGGCATGGAAAGAATTGCTCTCTGCTGGCTGAGAGGGAGTCTGGGGCTCTCCTAGCTGCCAGCATCCACCAGTCAGGTGCTGTGGGCTCCACCTGCCCCCCCCCCCCCCGCCCCGCATGAGAGCCCCCAGGGCATCTCTCACCTGCTGGCCCTTCCCAAGAGGGTGGCAAAACCTTCTTGTAAGTTTTTCAGTTTCATTTCTCAAGTACACACTGTGAGTTGTGTGTTTCCCCCCAGAGGAGAATTTTAGGTATGATTTCAAATGACAGTGCTTCATTCTGAAATGGCTTGATATTTTGTGCATCATTTAGGATAACTAGAGGTATCCACCCTGGCATATATTCAGACTGATAATTAACATACTAAAATGCTGTTTTCTTGGGTGCCTGGGGGGCTCAGTTGGTTGAGCGTCTGCCTTCGGCTCAGGTCACGATCCTGGGGTCCTGGGATCAAGTCCCACATCTGGTTCCCTGCTCAGTGGGGAGTCTGCTTCTCCCTCTGCCCCTCCCCCGCTTGTGTGCGCTCTCTCTCACAAAAATAAATAAAAAAATCTTAAAAAAAAAAAAAAGGAAAGGAAAATGCTTTTTTCTTGCTTGATAAATCATTGTTTCCCCAACTCAGCCTACCCTGGCCCCTTAGTGCTCCACCAGGACCCTCCCCTCTTCTGTGAGGATCCCTGAAGGGGTCACTGCCTGGCATGGAAGAAGGCTCCAGAACTGAGCTCAAGCCATGACTGACCTGACTGATGGACACGCCTGCCTTTCTGGCTTTTCTTTCTTTCTATAAAAATTATGTTCCTGGTCGCCTCCATAGTGCCTGAGACTGACCACCATTTGCAACTGGCCCCGTCTCCATGATTGTCGTGAAGGAAGGTTCGAAGGGCCCAGGGTAATGTGAGCTCCTTTGTGATGCTCACTTCCAGGCCCTGGGGAAGCCTCGACCTTCTGAGGATGCACCCTTAGGTGTAAATCAGATCTTTAAAGCTGTTTTGGAGCAGTTGGTTCCCTCAGCATTATCTGTCATTATGCTCCAAATAGGCTGAGTCAAGCGGGAGATCTTTGATTTGCAAGGTAAAGGATGCAGTTAGGAGAGCAAATGTCCCATTGTTTCCTGGCAGTTGCTGATTTGAATAGGGTGATGAATGCATAAGATCTGTGCTTTGCAGCTTTGCAGCCAGGAATGTGGACTCTGGCCTGAGAGAGGGCCAAGAGGTCAAATGTAAACCATGACCTTGGTCAATGAAGGGTAGGAGTCTGGTAACAGCAAGAAATAACCACCAACCAGCATGACTGGGTTCCTTGCTTGTAAAATAGTTACATTATTTTTTGAAAATTTAAGCATCGGCTGCCCAAAGGATCTGCCCTGAGCAGCCCCTCAAAACAGCTAAGAATGGCTCCATGGGGTCACCTCAGGCCACCTGGCTCTTTTTTCTGCTGCGAATCTCAGGTGTTGGAGCCTGCCCCAAGTGTCACTGCCCAGGCCCCCACTCTTGACAGCACATCTCAGTTCCCCAAAATCTACACAACCCATTTTCTCTGCAGCTCTTTTTTTTTTTTTTTTTAAATGGACCCAGGTTTGGGAACATACTGGCAGGTTGATCTAGCCAGCTCTGCCAACAAAATAAAAATGGAAGTCAGGTAAATCTTACAATTTAGTCACCTATCACTCGATTGGGCCTTGATCCTCTCAAAGGTCACAAATAACAAGCAAAACCAACAAATCACTGAAGTAGTAAAGGTTTATTGTGCACACACCAAGAAGACAATTAGCAGGCCTAGAGCACTCAAACCAATACATGGAAGGAGGCTCAGAGGTACATCGTTACAAAGCAGCTTCTGTCGTGAGAAAGTGTTGACTGTTTGTTGGTTATAATATCAGTGCTTGGTTATAATTTTAGAATTCTCTTAAATGAGCGGGAGTTGGAGTGGTTACCTCATATCAGCCTTTGGAAAATGTGTTTGTTTTTGTTTTTTGCTTACGATTTCCAGAGGCAGAAGCAAGAAGTGCCTCCCGTCAGGTTAGCCTTGCAAAATAAGCTAAATGAAGTTTTGCTTGTAGGACTAACCTGGTTTTGTCTGCCCAGAGAATTTTCAACGCTGGTCTCCATTTGGTTTTGATTTTAACAAGCTGAATGCTTCACGAGACACTTCTTCCCTGAGTTTTTCCAATCATATGTGTGATTGAGATGAGTGTCTCAGATCTCCCCTCCAAGCAGAGCTTCAGAGCAAGGACTCGGGGTCTGTTCTGCTCAATCTAATGCAAGCGCAAATACGGCGTTGCCCCGTGGGACAGAGCAGCATGTTTTCCCCTCCCAAACCTGTCACGTCTTGAGTCCGAAAGAAGAAATCAAAAGCACACTCTCTCCCAAAAAAGGAGGGGGAGGGGGAATGTGCTTCTTTCCCAAGCTCTTCAGTTATTTATCAAAGCGCGGCCCCAGAGCGCCTGCTCTCACCTCGGCCTGCGCCGCCTCCACATCAGTTTGGTTTATTACACAAGGCATGCCAGCCGGCCGGGCACGGCAGGGACGGTCCCGCCAGAGCCAGCGTGCTCACAGCAAGATCTTTATCGGCCCGGTTTGGTCTGGGATAGTTTTCATTCAGGGGGTCCCTTCGTGGATGATTTTGGGGACCGAACAAATTATGTGCGTTCATTAAAAGCCCCATAGAAGACCTCAGTGTGCCTGGATGATGGACATTTTTGCTCAGTCTACCTGTGTGTACATGGAGATTTTCCTGGGTAAGACTATGTTTAATGCCCTGGATGTTTGGACCCTCGTGATTGCAGAGATCATCCCAACACCCAGGGAGAGGCTACTGATGGGTGAGAACTTGCCTCCCCTGAGCGAACATGGCCCACTGTCCAGAGGGGCTGGGTTGGCTCCATGTTTTGTAACTCAGAAGAAAGACTCTCGGTGGGTTTTAAAAAACTGGGGAGTTGTAACTAGGAGATTGGCAAGGTGACCAGAGGTAAAGTATTCTTATTGTGATCTGATAATCAGCTTCTTCTTCCTTTGTCTCAAAAGGGGAAAGAAAAATGCATCCTCTTTTTCTTGAAGTGTGTACACTGCAAGAGTCACCTGGATTCTCATTGATTCCAAACCTGAGTTCATCATTAAATTTGAGCAAGATATGCTCCAAGGGAAATCCATAATGCAAATGCCCCCCCCCCAAAAAAAGGAAAAACAAGAAAGTAAAGACAATTCCTGGAGAACCCGCCCAGGCCTTGCTCACCTTGAGGACCATTTGTTTGCTGATGTTAAATCCCCAGGGTTATCACTGTAGGTAGAGCTCAGCACTGGCCGCTGGCCAGGTTCCCTTACTAATGGGAAGGAAGGTCAATAATCAAAGATAGAAAGTCATCATTCTTATAACCTGTTTATACCTTATAATCCAATCCTTGCATCTGCGACCACTTGCTCCTGCCTTAAATGTTCCTCCCAGCTTGGAACAGTAAAAGCTGTCAGTGACAGACCGAGCGCTGTATGACACTCAAATTGTGTTGATGAACAACTTGGTGTCACTATCATCTGTTTTCTGAAACATTGGCTCTGACATTTTTTAGGCAGAATACAAGAAAAGTGTCACCTGAGAGACTGAATATGATAGCATTTTTAAGAGAATGCTTTGCCACAGTCACATGCCTATCAGAGACATTAAGCATTTGGGGAAGTGATGAGAATCACGTTTTTTATAGCCTTCGTCAAAGTATTACATATTTAGTAAAAGTTGAAAACAAGATTTTCATTATATTCAGATTCCTTACTGAAGGTTACATTTTGCATATGTGTCCACTTAATATAAATTTTAGAAATCTATTAATTTAGGTTTATTAGGAGGGTTACGTACTTTGTTAAGTGTGGTTATTTATAATAGCCAAATTTGTTTTACGGCTCTCTTTACAGAAATCCTCATTAGCTGAGTAATAAAAAAAAAAAAAAAAAACCTAAATTCTGTAGAGGATCCATTCTCTTTTCTGATTGTATAGAAATAGAAATATGAGTAAGACTGATGAACTCTGGATAAATTGCTAGTGTTAATAACAAAATGTCACAAATGAGATACCAGGTATTTTGTCTCCCAGCTCTGCTGTAGATCCCTGCTCATGTCCTTGATTTATATGATATAATTGTCTATTTGTAAAATTGCATTTATCTTATGTAACGGATAGGACATGACTACAGGTCTTATATTGGATGGATACTTTAGTAGCTGCTCTTATGGCATTTAGAATGTCCACTTCTTTTTTTTTTATTTTGTTTTTAAGAATTTATATATTTATTTGAGAGAGAGAAAGAGACAGAGAAAGAGAGCAGGGGAGGAGCAGAGGAAGAAGGACAAGCAGACTCCAGGCTGAGCACAGAGCCTGACGTGGGGCTTGATCCCAGGAACCTGAGATCATGACCTGAGCTGAAATCAAGAGTCAGATACTTAACCGACCGAGCCACTGGGCGCCCCTGCAGGCCACTTCTTATGCTAAAGGCTGGACACATTCAGAATGCCTGTGGACGAAAAATGGATGCATGTCCCCAGTATCCTGGCATTCAAAGTCACACTGATCTGTGTTATTCAGTTTGGTCCGTTGAAGCTCATTTAAAAACCTTCAAAAAAAAAAAAATTCTGAACAATGCCTTTCTGTCTTTAAGGTCAACACAAGATAAAGTTCATTCCAGAAATGGTCGGCCCAATATTAGAAATGACGCTAATTCCTGAGACAGAACTGCGTAAAGCCACCATCCCTATCTTCTTCGATATGATGCAGTGTGAATTCCATTCGACGCGAAGCTTCCAGATGGTAAGGGCGTGGTGGGTAAGCGGTAAGTGGCCTGGAGAGAAGGCGCACAAGCCTGAAAACCTCGAAAAAGGCTTTATAAGTGGCCCTGGAGGTAAAGGTACTGAACATGAAAAACCTAATTCCCTACAGTTTAAAAGAGAAAAGCCCCAGGACTTCCCTTCTTGAAAAAGCCTGTCATCCTTTGCCTTCATCTTTAAGGAGAAATGTTCCCAATTATTATTAGCTTTTACTTACTTATTTTTATCTGGATTTACTTACACATTCAACCCTGGATAAAAGTCTCTTCCCCTCTCCTTGGTACATCCCCTCAGAATGTTGAACCAGATGTTACCACGTGCTCTCAGACTGGCTGCTTCTTGCCAACGTGTGTTATTTTCAAGTCAAAAGTCTTTGCTTTTCCTCTTTCACATCTGTCTTGGTCTTTTACTTGTGCAGCAGAACTGATAAGAACTCCTCGAAGAAAGTCTGCATAATGTGCTCAGAACATACAGTATCAATGGGAAAGACAAAATCTGAATATTTATGTTGGAGGATTAACAAAATCTCCTTCCCTGGATTCCATGAAAATAAGTATGGTGTTTACATATTCACTGTTGGGTACACACTCACATGCACGAACGTACAATGGCTTTCTCCCCAGTGGGCTACGTGGGTTGGCTATGACGCTTTGCAAGAGGCACTTAGAAGAACCCAAATAGTAGTGGGTCCTCCACATTGAAAGCAACCTTTGCTTAAATATTATAATAATTCAGGTAAGTGAGTATCTATTTCCACATAGAGTTTTGAGGAATTTTAAGAAAAATCCCTATATTAGAAGGAAACCAAAACCGCATCAGAGTAGCATGATTGTAGTGGGGCCTGTTATTTAAAGTGTAGATTTTCCTTCCCCACCTTTATACTTTTTAGTTCATAGATTGTGAATTGTTTATAGATTTCCACTGGCCAGTCCTCATTATTATGGCACGAAGCTAGTAGCCATGAAGAATAATTTTGGTATTTTCTAGAGCCAAAAACAGATACAAAGCTAAAAGAACCTCTGTGAGTACCAGTTGAGTTTGCACAATGAAGTCAGGTAGGTAGACCCTGACTCCCGGTACTACCTGGATCTCCAGCAAATGACTGCACGTCTTTAGTCTTTGATTCAGAGCTGTAATGTTGGTACGTAAAGGAATCTACTCCAAAGGGATGTTGTAAGAAGTGAATAAAATAAACCTGTGAAGACCACCTGCCTGCCCGCCCACCCGCCCACCTCCTTCCCCCCGCTCCCTTCCTTTGCTTCTCACTTCCTTTCTTTGCTTTGCTCTTTCTTTCTTTCCATAGGGGAAGAGGACTTCCTTACACTTATTTATTTATTTATAAAATTAAAGAGACTGTTTTAAAAGAACAGCTATTTTTATTCCTCTGGTTTACAATCAGTCTTTGTACACATGTAATGTAATGTTGTAAACATTGTCCACATTTTTTTGGTTCTTTTTGTTTGGCAATCTATCACAGACATCTTTCTTGATTACAACGTAGTAACCATGATTTTTATGATGGCATAACATTTCATAAAATGAAATGGGTAATCTTCTCTTACCCATCCCTTTAGCTGAGCATTTAGGTGGTTTGCACATTCTCACTACTGTGAGTAAATGTGCAGTGAACACATGCATGCATATAGCTTGACTTTTCTTTTGAAAGTTTTCCTGGTATGCCGTCTCAGAAATGGAATTGCCGATTCAAAATATTTTTCTAAGTTTTGACATTGCCAATTTTATTTATGTCATTGCCATAAGATTTGACCCATCTCCACTGCCACTAGCACTAAATCATGGTCCGATCTCATTGCCAACTCACCAGAACTAGGATTTGTAGTTTAAAAATGCCTTTTCCTAGGCTGAAAATACATCTGACTCTTTGAGTTTTATATGAATCAAGCCCCAAAGAAGGACCTTATGAAAAAATGCTATTAAAGAGTCAGGTAGGGGTGCCTGGACGGCTCAGTCTGCTAAGCATCCAACTCTTGGTTTCAGCTCAGGTCAGGATCTCAGGGTCGTGGAATCGAGCCCCGCGTTGGGCTCCATGCTCAGTGAGGAGTCTGCTGGAGAGTCTTTCTGTCCTCCCTCTGTCTCTGCCCCCCACCCCTGGCGTGTGCTTTCTCTCTCTCTCTCTCTCTCTCTCTGAAATAAATAATTCTTATTAAAAAAAAAAAGAATCAGGTAAAGGAGAAAAATGCATTTATATGAATAAGTGTTATGAGCTCAGGAAACTAAGATCAAAGGCCTTTAAAACAGTGTCATTTGTCATTCTTTGAAGCCAACTTCGGGTCAAAATAAGGTCAGCAGCAGTTGGAGTAAGGACAAAGGCATGAATAAGAATTTGGCTTCTGAATTGTTCCTCTTCTTCCTTCCATCCTTGTGGTTCTCATTCCTGCAGCTTTAAAGCATCTTACACAGTCATCTGTGGAAGTGCTTCATTTTCTCCAATTCACAGGGTCTCTGGTTTGTCAATCAAGGGCACAAAGTTAGTGAAGGAGAGTCATGGTGTTTCTGCCTTCGTTCTCAATGCTGCCCCCAGTGGTGGGTTCAAAAACTGTCTAATATCAGGAGCCAGTTTTCCAGAAAACCAAACTGAGTAATACCAGGAAGCAGTTATGCACATTTAATTCTACTTCACAGTTTCATATCCCTAAAACATGACTCGCTTGGATATATATGAATAAAAGCGCAAACATGAAGACATAAGTCCCCAAAACCTGCTGTCAGGATAAGCATGGTCTGCTACTTGGATTTGTTGATCAATAATCGTTGACCATTTGTTCATCTGTGTTGGCACCTACTTGTACCTTCAAAGACAAGTGGTAGGACGCACCAAAGGTTTTTAAAATAAAGGCAGAAAAACTAAAACTTGAGAAAAAAAAAAAGCTCTCTGCTCTATTAGTCTGTTCTTGTGAATTGGGAAAAAGATCAATCTCCTTTTCTCTTGCAGTACCTCCGTTTATTTTTTCTCTTGGTCTGTCTCAGCCTCCCAGGTGGACCGTCACACAGAGTATCATCCTTCCCAGACCTGCTGCTCCCCTATCATGCCCGTTTTTCCCAGGCTCCTCATCGTTTTTTTTTTTTTTTCCTAAATAATTTCTTTTTTTTTTAAGATTTTATTTATTTATTTGAGAGAGAGAGAATGAGAGATAGAAAGCACGAGAGGGAAGAGGGTCAGAGGGAGAAGCAGACTCCCTGCCGAGCAGGAAGCCCGACGTGGGACTCGATCCCGGGACTCCAGGATCACGACCCGAGCCAAAGGCAGTCGCCTAACCAACTGAGCCACCCAGGCACCCGTTTGGTTTGATGGGTGCAGGTTACAGTGACTTGTCTTTGTTTGCTCTTTTGTCCTCCATGGTACGTTGTGGCGACTTGTCCGTCCTTCCTCTGTCTCATCTCCAACATCCAGCTGCTTCTCTTGGGCCTTGCCCAGGGCTCTTCTGGACCACAGCATCTGTCTCTTGACTTGCTCTATCTTTTCTAACTCTTTCCTATTCTCAGGTCAACTCTCGTCTCCTAGGGCCTCCCCTTCCTGATGCATGAGGCATGCCCTCTGTCCTCGGTGGGGGTATCGGGCTATTGCAGCGAGTGGGCATGTGCACAGAGCAGCAGGGCACAGGCATCCCTGCCTCCATCCCAGGGAGCCTCCAGGTTGGGGCTGGCTGGTTGCTGTTTAACTAATCCGCCACCAATCCAATTTCCTAACCTTATTAGTCACACCAACAAGGGCTTAAATTGGCTTCGCTTTTATAGCAGATGTGCAAACCTAATGAAGTGAGGGGAAGACATTAGGGTTTTTCGTTTTTACAACATTCGTGTTTTGAACCTGTGTGGTAGCTTATTTTTTATAAGTGTGCTATGTCTTTCTGAGCAGGGCTCTTAACGTTTGTGAAATACGCATTCTGTCTGGGGAGTAGTATGCTCTTCCAGCTGGAGTGGACAGCGAACCCACTGGATGCAGAAGAAGGACCTGCCATTTTACTCAAGATTAAACTGCATCAAACCATTATTGGAATTTCCAAAGCGTGTATTACAGATCGGCTTTTCTCCGGTTCCCCAGAGTTGCAGCTCCTGTATTCTTCCACTGTAGTGGAGGGACTTGCGTTAGAATGTTCTTACGCATACATTTCCCCCGAAGTCTCCTTCTTTCCTCCAATTTTGCGAGAAGGAGCATGAATTTTCATCCAAAAGAAGCGTGTCCGTGTCCTTGTCTTTGGTGTTACCGACCCTGCCTCTTCCAAGTCCAGGCACTGAGTGGGTTTGCCCGGCTGTGGGATGGGGTGGCGTGGAGTTACCTTTCACGTGTTCTGTCCTCTTGCCGGCCTGAGACACGCTTTCCAGCGCGCCAGTCGTTGCCTTTTGTTAACTGGTTATAGGCAGATCTTCACAGGTGCTGAAGAAGCTCTGCGAAGGCCGCCTCACAGCAATTCGTGGTTCTTCTGGCCCTTCCTAAGAGTCTCTCATGATGTGCGTGCCATATCTGTTCTCCTCCGTTGTCCCCTTCTGCTTCTCCCCTGCCCATTAGTCCTGGAGGACGTATTCTCTGGCCTCTCTCCTTGCCACTTTCCTGCTCCTCAGGTCATCCCAACAGTGTGTTCGCTGTCCCCCATGCGCACCTGCCCTCACCCAGACCCCAGTCCTGGAGTAGCAAGTTCATTACCCTTGAACTGGGGACTTTGGGAGATCTTGACTTTTTTCAAAGGAGAGCTCCTACGTGTGAAGCCTTCAGGGTCTGCTCGGCTAGGGTGCAGAGATTTGGAGGCATCGGCATCTTGGTGCCCCTTCCACCGGCTTGTGCACTGACTGAGCCACGTTACCACGAGACGGGCCTTCACCGGGCCTGAAACTAACCTCTCCCCTGTGTCACTGACACCCCTGCCCCCAAATCGGTAACGCTCTGAGTCTCGGCCTCACTGGATTTTGCTTCAGAAAAAAAAAAAAGCATACTTTCAAATTCCCTTCTGGCACCTTTTTAAAGAA